TGCATACAATTGCCTCTCTCTCAGAATTTGCAAAACAATTCTTAAGTGCTCGGCATGCTCTTCTTGAGTCTTCGAATAAATTAGGATGTTGTCAATGAACACCACCACAAACTTATCCAAAAACTCATGGAAGATCTTGTTCATGTAGTCCATGAACACTACAGGTGCATTGGTCACTCCAAACAGCATTACCAGATACTCATAGTGACCATACCGCATCCTGAACACTGTTAGGGACATCCTCATTCTTCACCAGATCTAATGGTACCCTGACCTCAGGTCAATCTTAGAAAACCCTGCAGCTCCCCTCAATTGGTCCATCAAATCATCGATCCTCGGATGTGGATACTTGTTCTTTATCATTACCTTGTTCAGCTGCCAGTAATCCACACACATCCTCATGCTCCCATCCTTCTTCTTCACCAAGAGCACTAGTGCTCCCTACGGTGACACACTCAGTCTTACAAACTATTTTTGCAATAGGTCCTCCACTTGCTTCTTGACATCTTCCAACTCTATCGGTGACATCCTATATGGTGGCACATAAATCGGGCTTGCCCCCAAATTAAGGTCAATAGCAAACTCTATTCCCTCTCAGGCAGTAACTCAGAAATATCTTTAGGGAAAACTTCTAAGAAATCCCTCACCACCACGATGTACTCCTACTCCACCACACTTTTTGGCCTCCATATAAAACATCACTATAAAGGCCTTGGCGTTTATCGTGTTGTTCCACACTCCTGACTCATAAGCCTTAAAACCTCTGCCATTGTCGCACCAAAGATCAAGGTCTTCTTTCTACAATCCAGTAGTACATGGTTGGCAGCTAGCCAATCCATTCCCAAAATCACATCCAGCTGGGATAGAGGCAAACAAATCAAGTCTACCCCAAATTCCCATCCATGTACCATAATTGAACATCCTAAACACGCCCACGACGTCACAATCGGCTTACTGGTAGGGGTAGTCACCATAACATTACATGGCAGTTTAGTCACATATAGACCCAAACTCTTCACACAGTCAACAGATACAAAAGAGTGCGTAGCACCCGAATCAAACAACACGTCAAGTAATCTACCCTTAATAACACATTTACCTCTAATCAACTCCTCAGATTGTGAAGCCTCTGATCAACTCCTCACATTTACCTTTGGCCTCGTACTCGGCCCTGTGCTCCCTCTTGATTTTGGTCTCTGAGTTGCACTAGCACTAGCACTCTTCTTAGCGACCCAGCACACATTTGCAGTGTAACCCGACTTCCCACAGTTGCTACAAGTTATTCGTGGCCGTGGGCAGTCCCTCACTGTGTGTGGCCCTTTGCACCTGAAGCATTTAATCAGCTCTCTGAAAAAGCCTGATTTTGAGCCTGAGCCAGTACCACTGCTCCTTTCCTGAGACAAAGTCCCTTTGAACTATGAGTGACTAGAGCCTGAGTACTGCCGCTTGGAGAATCTAGGGGGTCTTCTATCTTGCCACACTGGACTAGCTCTTCTAGTGTCCATTGTCTTCCCCTTTCAATTGGCTTCAAAGATTCTGCTCTTGCTCACTAGAGTAGGCAAGTTCGTCAGTTGAAACACACTAACTGCAACTCAGATGTCTGGCCTCAGTCCATGCTCAAACTGAGCACACAAGTCCTCATCTCCGTCTTCATGTTGGTAGTAAGGCCAATACTTTATCAGCTCTTGGAACTTCGGTGCATACTCTCCCACTGTCATGCTCCCTTGCTTCAGCTCAAGGAACTCTCTGGCCTTCTGTTTTTTCAGATCCCAGGGAAAGTAATTACCTAGGAAGATCGCCTTGAAAGCCTCCCACTAGATATAGCCACCTTCTTGTGGCAAGGTCTGACATGTAAACCTCCACCAGTCCTTCGCTTCTCTACATAGCAAGTGTGTGGCATAGGCAACCTTGTGCTCCTTACGGCACCCCATTACATTGCAGACTTTCTCGACATCTGCCAACCACCTCTGGCTCCCTCGGGGTTGAATCCGCCCTCAAACTTTGGAGCATCGTGCCTAGTGAAGGTAGACAATCCTTAGTACTCAGTCGTCTCTTTGCCTTGGTTGTGCACCAAGGCCTCCAGAATTTGAGTCATGCGCTTCATGAGGTCATTAGTGCCTCTAGCTCCTCTACCTCTACCAGCTATGTTCAATCTGAGCTAACAAAAATTCAACAAACCACATTCCAGTACATCAAACCAATAACACATTTATAATTCAGGTAAACAAAACAAATCAACACTCAGCTTGGACGCCTTAGCTCGATACCCCAGCTCGGTTTAGATGAACTGCTCTGATACCAAAATTGTAACACCTTAAATTTAATTTTTAAAATATATGAATTTCATAAAAATAGGAATAATAAAATTTTCATTGAAATGATTTTTGAAACATAGTTCAACTAAGTATTTCAAAATAAGAGTGAATTACAATTTGAATCAATAATTGCTACAGGACTCCATTAATACATCAATTTTTAAAATAAATTCCTAAGTTTTATAGCAGTTTCATCCACTCCTTCACTGAGCCCGGTGTTGATTGTCTTGGTCACCTGAAAAATAAATGTAAGGGTGCGTACTCTACACTATCCAACACGCACACATAACATAAAGACTCACCTTGCACATTCCACATATATTCTCACATATTCTATTTAATTATAGTCAATCACACACAACACTTTCAAGCATTTCATTTCAATTCATAACTGATGCACTCACGACACCAAAAAATTTTACACACACGTGTGTTCACTGCATATAGCCACGCTCACTGTGGCACTGTGATCACAGTTTCACACCATGGATGGTAGTCGATTACCCCCGCACTACGTACACCACATGTGCGGTCTTGAGTCGCTTGGCAAAGGTGTTGGTCAGAGGTCTAGTCAGGAGGAAAGTGTGTGGCCTGTGGTACATCCACACTCATTGTTGGTGTCACCATCACTCTCTCTTCCCCAAGGTATTTCTACCATCCCCATCTTCCACACCTCCAATGTATCGCTAAACCATTCATAGCATATTCATAACCACATTTAACATGCCTTTTTCACACATTTTTTAGCCACATACAGTATTCATTCACAGCACACGACATAGATGCTCACATTCACTCGTGTTACATTTAACGCACAGCTATTCCATGCCCACAACATGTCAACATAATCCACATTCATTAATTTATTCCATCATACACACTATTCAACATTCATTACACTATACTTTATTCAATCTTTGCACCACAATCTCATCACAATCAGTCAATTCTACCAGCACACACATTCCAAACCATCCACATGACATTGCATTTAAACACACCATAATTTCCATCAAAACACATATTTTCTACTCTCTATCCTACCCACATTGCAATATTTAGCAAAATAAATGGTAATCAAAACACAATGAGATAGGGTAGAGCCCCCCTTACCTCAAATTGAAGATCCACACACGAAATCAACAACGAGAAGGCTTCCCACACGAACTTAGTCCTCCAAGCATTCCCAACATGAATCCAACCTTCAATCTAGCTCACAAACGACTTTGGAGGCAATTTAATCGGTGAAATAGGGTTTTAGGTCGAGAGAATCAAACAGATTTTTAAGAGAGGAATGGGAAATAAATTTTTCAAATCTTAACCCCTTCAAATACTCCTCTGGTCGCGACACTCTTGCTACAATGAAACACTCTCGTTACAATAAGACATCTCTTGCTGCAACGACACCCCTTGTTGCTATAGCAAAAATCTCAAAGGAAATTGCATCCTAGTTTTTGCAGAATCTCGCTACAGCGAGACCCTCTCGCTATAGAGAGACTACACTCAGAAATGCACTTCAAACTGTCGCTCTCTCGCTGTAGCAAGAGACCTCTCACAACAGCGAGAAGGTGATAGTTTTACGCCTTCCTCCCAGGGCCCTCTCGTTGCAGCGAGAACACCCTACACCAGATACTTAGCCAAATTTTCAGTCCAATTCCAATCATCTATAACAATTTTAGTTCTACCACAACCAACACACATGCTCCTACAAGTCTACATCACTTATACATATATTCTCATCACAGCATATATATATATATATATATATATATATATATATATATATATATATATATATATATATATATCAAATACACAAACACATGAAAATCCCCATAATGCTTATATTAATAATCAAATAATATTACAAAATTTAGGACGTTACGAATCTTTATTTCTCGTGCTCTTTTTCTTTCTTTTGTCGTTTTGCTTGGCAATAATTCTTGCCAATTAGTTAACCAAAATAATTAAAGGATCAATGATTCTAGTCATTAGGATAATCTTTGTGGGATGATGATAGCTTAGGATCTAAAATACTACATTTATTACTAGTAGAAGACACATACTTCGTATTTTCTTATATTTGATATACAATTTTTTATAGAGATGAAACATATTCTCTTCCTCATTAGATGCTATGCAATGAAGAGTTTTATTTGAAAGATTTTTTTAGAGTTGTTAGTCAGGGCCTTTATTATTATTGTTGTTGTCGTCCAACTCTAAATATTACAATCTCTTTGTTTGTCCTTAGTTGCTTTTGGAATTCTTTTTACTTTTGAATATATAATAATGATAATCGTAATAAAATACTTATATATTAAAAAGAATAAGTGGGATTCATTGTAATATGAAAAATAAAATATATGCTCTAATAATTTTATTATCTTTTAAATTGGTAGTTTATGAAAAATGAAATGTACATTTTTCTTAAAATATAATTTAATCATTTAATTTATTTTTCTTGTTTATACTCACCAAATATTATCCTATTTCTAGTGAAGAAGCAACATCAAGGAGACATATTATTATATAGAAAAGAGCAAATTATAGATTTTTAGGTAATACAAATGGTTTTTGAATAGTTTTCATTTTTCTCTTTTAAGAAAATTGAACAAATTAGAAGGAAAAAAAAGTACATCAAAGATATAACAATCATTGTTTGATGATGCAAATGTTACCAGGTGCTCATGTTCTTTCAGAATCCATATGATAATCTACCATCATGCATTGGTGTGGATAATACCAACCAAGTGATTGTTGTCTGGAACAAGTTGAGTTCTCCATAAGCAGAAACTTATGAATCAATTTAGCTTCCATTGAATATACACAACACATGGTAGATTGAGTCTCTAGGTAATAGACACAATTGCTTTGGCCTCCCCATTTACTTGATTTTCGTATTGATGAGTCCCATCTTTTTCCAAGGAATAAGGCTTGATCATTCAACTTATCTACCTTAACCCACTTCACTGAATCAAAGTCAATTTTATGAATATTTAAATGTTGATCAGGGACAAAATCAACCATTAAAAGTTGATTATTTGAGACCACCAACTTCAAATCTTGGGAATTCACATTAGGGGTGTTTTTCACAGTCATCCAACTAAACACTTTATTTGTCGAGTTTGATTCTTTCATCCTCAATTTTCCAATTTGAGCATTATTTGTAACAACATAAACTTGTTCCTTAAAAATTGCAATGTCTACCCAAGGTGCCCCAAAATATAGGCTAGTAAACCATTGTTTTTTTCTAGAATGAAAAACTTGAATTTCGTGCTTGCTATTACAAATGACAAGGATGACATCGCTTTCAGAGGATGATGTTGAAACTAGGATAATACGGTCATAAAGAGATTCACCTTTTAGGGTAAAAGATGGTGTATGACAATTCAATTCATGTCCAGTTAAAGGATTTACAATAGAAATTTGATGATTCATGTCTTCAATGATCATATATCCTGCAGAGCACCCAATAAAGAATTTTTTGAAAAGGTTTAAAAACTTAAACTTTTTTGTGTTGCCATTAGCCATATCAAACAAATAGCACATATGCTTGACACTTGATGACATGAGAATTGCCATTGGTGCTTGGGATTCTAAGAAATCTTCTTTGGACCAATCATATATTTCATACCAAGTCTTGCAAACAACACCAAATGAACAAAAGGCTACCACATCAAGATGTTTAACAATTAATTCAAGCAATTCACTTGGAAGTTCTGGTAACTTCTTTGGATTATCCATATTACTAGTGAGGAGCCTTTCACCATGTTGGCCTACATAAATAAAAGAGCCAAATAGTTAAAAATTTGTGCTATAACATTCTCTTAATTTAATTAAAATATAAAGACAAATTGGATTGATTTTTATGTTTTTTTAAAAGTACATAAATAGAATAAAATGCTTGTAACATATATTTATAATTGTAATTAAAAAATGTACTCCAAAATTTACTCTTAAAATTTGAAATAATTCTTTTCACAATAATAATACAAATATAAGGCAAGATTTAAGCAAGAAAAATAAGATCCTCATTGAACAAATGCAATTGACTTATTATTGCTTTATAATTTATAAATGTTCAGGGCTCATCAATGAAATAAGTATGAATATGTAACCAAATTAAAAACATTTTTGTTATATTTTTTATTTATAGAATATTTGATTAAATTAATTACACATAAGGTTTAATTTTGTATTCAAAAATTGTAAATTGTAGAAATTGAAATTGTAGAAGAAGAGAAATCATATAGCAAAGAAATCCTACCAACTTTCTAAATTATGATGCAAGATATTTTAGTTTAGATCACAAGTATCATCTATATAAGGCAATCTTAGTCAAAGTAGGTAAGACCAATATTAATGACAAAATCTTTCCCTCGAGTATTTAACATACCTACAGACATACCCATGGACTCAAACTCAAGACCATTAGTTTAAGTTGGAAAAACCCTATGCTTGTTGATCCACTCCCTCAATGGTTATGATACAAAAATATGAGACCATGTTGGAAAAAATATTTATTAATCATATCAATAGCAAAAAGAATTGAAACTAATTTTAGAGAAAAATTGAATTTAGGAAATAAGACACGTAAGAGGAACATAAAGTAGATTAATCAAGACATACATTGGTGAGAAAGATGACAAATACTTTTGCCTTTTAGATCCCCTTGCATGTTTTCTTTCGAACTAATTGTCTCTTCATCTTTCTTTCCCTTGCTCATACTTGTATTTGTAAAATCTCTACATCTCTACATAAGATTTGATGACAACTACTTATAATAGGGGACAAATAAAAACAAAGATTGTGTTGAAAGATAAAGTGTTTAACACTCAAGTAATTATTGCAAAGAAATTATGTGGGCCATGTTAAATGATGAGCTGTAAAGAAAATTGTGAAAGAATCTTTACCAACAATAAGGTCCTGTTAAATGATATCTATTATACAACTCTTGAAAATAGGTGATGTCATGCCAACTATTCTTTGATTGAATGACATGTTACTACAACTAACCTTATAAATACTCACATGTTGTATAAGTGTATAGCCTAACAACTTCACATGATTTAAACAAGTTTAGATTGTTTGTGTCTGTGGATAAAATGGATATGAGTTTTAAAATAACAAGTTATGTATTGTTGGGGACCATTACTTCTATTATTATTTTTAATAATTCCGTTAAATCTATAATTAAAGAATAATCAAAACTACATCATTTAATGAATTTTTACAAATATATTATCTATTTGGATCTAATTTAAATTTAGTTTATGAATTAAATGCTTTCAAAATATTACAAAAAAAAAAATTCAAATTTTGATTAAGGCTTATACTCAATTGCCTAATTAGGACAAATCCTTTTACCACTCAATCAAATATAAAGGTTCAAGTTGACTTTGGAATTAAAGTTCCACGTGAAATAGAGAAAAATAACATAAAAGGAGGTTGAAATAGGCTTAAATAAAACCTTGATAAAGTAAACCTACTTTTTAGTTTTCTTTATAAAAAAATATTTATAACTAGGAAGAAAAACCCAAAACATGGTTTTGGAAAAGCATAGAGAAGTTATTAACTTTGGTTAAAGTTAAGAAAGCTTGGTTAAGAAAGTAATAAGACTAAAAAGTAAATAAAAAGACACAATAAATTTATATTGATTGAAACAAATAATGTAACATCCTTATTTTATTTATACAATTTATGAAATAATTTGTGTTAAAGAGAGAAAATAAGGTAAGTTTACTTATACTTATAATGCAAAGTCTGACAAAATTGAAAGCTTTCATCCTTGTTACTCAGTTTATAAAATGTACAAGCATTCAAAATGATGAAAGATGAATGTGTATCATTTCATTACAATTTATAAATAATTTTACACCAAGATTGAAATAAAATATACATATATTAGCTTTCATTAATGTACAAGAATTTGATAAATTACAAACCATAATTCCAAAAATACACAGGGACTTATATACATAATTTACAAGGGAAACAAAATAAATTTAAGTCCTAATAAGCAATTATCTCTATACCAAAATAGTGAGGACGATCCTAGTCGTCATCTCCAATCCAACCCTTGATCTCAACTAACTCCTCCGAGGTCAAATCTTCCTTCTCATCAAGATCACCTGTATCAACCATGACCTCAATAACAATCTCATGCTCTAAGGTGAATTAAGTTGGTCTTCCAAAATAGTCATGGTCATGAAAGGTGTATACAAAATTGTAGTTGTTGGAGTTCTAACTGTCCTTTTATATATATATATACACTAAAAGTATGGTGGATCATATTATTTATAGGATAATTAAAAGAAACAATATAATCTAATGTCATTTCTAGGGTAGAATTGTCTCTTAATTCATTATCATATTCTATAGAAAATTTAAAATAACATACACGCTGATATTCATCAAATACATAATTCAATCCATAATTTACAAGATAGTCTACTAATCTAATTTGTCTTTGATGGTCCTGTGAGGTCTATGTTATGTGTATGCTTATTTACTTTAAATTTGATGTTGTTATCATTTAACTACGGTGTCCTTGTATTTTGAATGTTTTGTTGTATGTAGTTATGATATGAATTGACTTGAATCATGTATGTATAAGTTGTATAGTTACTGCGTAAAAAGCTAGTACATATTGTGTGAGTTTTGGATAGTTGGTTGAAGTAGAACTGCAGGATATCTCATTGTAGCGAGAATGGGACGTCCAGAACAAGGTCTTCTGGAGCTCTCTCACTGTAGCAAGAGAGTCTCACTATAGCAAGAAATGAATAAGATTGAACCAACTAATACTCTCACTGGAGCGAGAAGATCGCGAGTTAATAGGTATTTAAGGAGAATTTGAGCTGAAAACTTTCATTTCTCACCAAACCACTATGCTCTTTGTTCTCTCACCTCCCTTCTCCGAAAAAACCTTCTCAAGACTAATTATATATTTTTAAATAATCACCTATTATTAGTTATATATTTTTAAAGCCTAATTATAATTTTATCAAATAATCACGTACTATAGTTAAATAGTTAATTCTATAATTTATTTATTTTACAAAAATATATATTTTAATTGTTAATTAATAATATATATATATAATATAAAAATTTCTCACAATTAAAAATTGCCAAAAATTACTAAAACTACTCCATTAGTAATATGTTTCAAAAATAACATTATTGTAGTATTTTGTTATATATATTATATATATTGTCAATAAATCCATTATTGATATTAATTTTTCTAATTTATAATAAGCAGTAACTTTAATGCATGACGTCTAATTTTCATTTTTATATTTTTTATTTTTTTTAAAGTGTATCTAATTAAAGATGTGCAATAGAAAATTAATAAATAATAAATATTTAAAAATATAATATTTAATTATATCAATTTATTAACTTCTGTAACATTTTAATAAAAAATTAGTATATATAAGTTGTTATCGTATATCTTTGAATAAAAACATAGTAGAGAAAAATAAAATCAACGTATGTCTTTATTTTCATCCTAACATACAAGTGATAACTTGATAGTACTAGGAATTAACGCACCAATTTCGGTTGTCCCTATGTTTTCTGTGTCACTTTCTTATTGTTTGGTACAACCAGAAATAGCGTTCCTGGCCTGGAGCCAAAGGAAAGGAAGGAAGCATAGTGAAATAGATGGCACAGCAAATTCAATAATGCATAGACAAATGATACAGCTTGTTTAATGAGAAACTAGAATAATCAATGTGGGTCATGTACAGTACCATCACTTCTCGTTCAAAGATATCGCCACCAATCATCCGCGAATCAATGAAAATTGCCTTTTAAATACTCACAAATTATTATTATGAAAATTCTAGTTTGACATGTATAATTAGTAGTTAATTAGTCTCTTTAAATATAAAAATCAAGGTTAATTTTTTGGTATGTAAACTCAAGAGGCTAGCTCGAAAATACCTAAAAAAATTTAGACATTAAAATTAAAGATCGGAATAATTTATTCCGTATTATTTGAACATGAGTTTTCTTTATTTTTTAATATATTATTTTATTTTAATGTGTTTTTCACTATATCCAAATCTAAAATCCTAATTTTAAGCAGTTTATAAAATGAATTTAAGTGTCGAAAATAAAGAACTAATTTTGTGAAAACAAATATTTTTAATATATATTAAAATAATTTTTTAATGGTGAAGCGGCGTCCATAAAAGCCCCTTACCCTTAAAAGGTTTGGTTGGACTATTTTCTTAACGTTCCAAATTGTTTGCGGTCCTTTTTATTCGGCTTGCATTAGTCCGTTATTCAATGTAATTCAGCCCAAGTCGATTTGTATAGCCTAAATTCACAGCTCTATATGTAAATGAAAATAAGTTATTATAAAAAGTCAAAATTTAATTAAAGAATATTTATATATAAAAAAATGACTTAGAGTTAACATGAGAATCAAGATAATTGTTAGCTAGTAATTATAAATACAAAAGTTACGTTAAAGACACAATATTCATTTTTTAAAATAAATTAAAAAAATATAAAAATTTAAAAGTTAACTTAATGTTGAATTTTAAAAAATAAATATCTTTTTATATTAAAAATTAATTTTTTTTTTTTGGAAAACACTTTTAAAAATACTTTCATTTAAAAACTAATCCTGACAATTTATACATAAATATTAATTACCATATACCTTTTTTTTTATATAATTCCTTATTGATATTAACATAACTTCTTACCATGTTATGATTTAGGGCCAA